TTTTTTTTTTTTTTTTTTTTTTTATTATTCTTAATTTTTACTTTTTTACAAGGTTACCTTATAAATAAAGAAGAAAGATAAAGACAGGGAAAATGATATTTCATTTCTGCAGCATGCAGCGTGTAGCATTTCTTTATCGAGTATCAAGAATTACGAATAATAACCCGAGCTTTATTATTATTAAAAATTTCATTTGGTTATCGTTGTACTGTAAGAGACTTCATATTTTAAGTAACCAATTTTTTTTCTATGACTGATGACACTTTACCGATGAAACTTCTCTGTACACAAGGTTCACAAATTCATTCGATTTACGGGGATCAGATGTGATATTGTTTTTCATTGGTCACTTATTATACATTTCGGTTCGGAAAGTTATCGAAATAATTCAATTCTTTGGTCGGTGGGAAAAATTTATTTACTTACTTTCTTTTCGGCTGTTGCTGTCAGTTGTTGCAAACGTTGTGTCATGTTTGACAACGATTGCTCGAAAGCCGACACCACATGAGCCTGTGAACACAAACACAAGAGAAATAATATAGAGACGAAAAATAATATTGTGCAAAAATGAACGATGAAAGAATTATTCATTTAATAATTTCATCGCATTAATAATAATCGTGATAATAATTATAATTATTATTTATATTTCGAACACGCACGCATATATTAATATATAATATATAAACGTCATGATAAATTCATCGACGCACAAATTTTCAAGTATATATATATATATATAAAACATACTTTTAATTAATATTTCTTTTATATTCGAATATAAATATATAATATTATATATATATTATATAAATATATAATATTCGAATATATATACATAATACACACTTTTAATTAATATTTCTTTTATATTCGAATAAATATCGACTACGTGTGTTACGAGTCTTCTTCTAAATTCAAATATATTTTTATCAAGAGGCTTTTGAAACGGAATATGGATACGGCTGATAAGGGTCGAGTGGAGTGGCCGCGCAGCTATTTTCCAACCTATCCAACTTCGACCATCTACTAATTTTCCTTTCCTGCGCGAACGAATCATTCCTTTCTTTCCCCTGCCCCTCCTTCGAGTGGTCATAATCTTTCGAAAAATAATTTCGGACGTGAAAAATAGAGAGCTAGTAAAATTCTACGCGACCGACCTTAATAACCGTAAATACGCTTATTAGACGCAGAATAGGTTTCTGGTTTCTCGTTAATCTTTCGAGCCAGAACAGACAGACCTTCCACCGACAGTTTCAAGTACACCACACCCCCCTCCCCTCCTCAAAAATGATCTCAAGTACGAAACAGATGTTCATCTCAAGTTTCATCTCGATATAATTTTATTAATTTTTATATATAATAGAC